CATTATTGTTACTCAGGTCTCTATTTTTCCAAATAAAGTGTCTAGCAGTCTTAAACTGGAGGTGAGTGTTCAATCCCATTTTTCTTTCAATTTTAATACTTTGATGCTATAGAATCCTCAGTTCCTGAGACTGCACCTCTTCTGTTAAATTCCAGTCAAGAAAATATTGAAAGATGTGACAGTCCATCATAGAAGGGAGGTTCTTCACTTACTGACTACTTGAAATGGACATCATACCAATCACTTTCTCACTATACAGAGAATAGAGATTAAGCTTTGGGTAATACAAAACTCTGAAAATTAGAGGTATAAAGAATGAGTTGGGGTTAAAAAGTTTCTTGTAATTCTTGTATAGTTTCTTGTCATTCTTGTATAATCCTAACTTTTCTCAAGAAAGACATTGTTGTTTTAGAGATTAAGACAGATGAGACAGCTCTTCAAATTTTTTAATGCATTCAGTACATGCCACACTGATAGATCCATGAGAACAATGTAAACAGTATTGGAGTTTATCAATAATTCTAACACACTTCAGACCTGAGGACCCAGGAGTGTGGCACTGCACTTTTGAATAACATTCAGTAAGAGCTGCATTTGTAATTTGAAATTTTCTCCATTACATCTTACTTCAATTTAATAATTTTATACATTTCTGTAGTGTGCCATAGAATGACAGGAAAATGTGATAATCCATCAAGTCTGTTCCAAGTCTCTCAATTACCCAATATTGTTGTTATTATTGAAATCTGCATAAATTCATCTTGCAGAATAAATCTGCAATATTCAATAAAGTCCTCAAAATTGCTTCTGGTCTATAATGGTCTGAAATAAACTTGGCAATCTCTTCCCTTAAGTCAAGATTTGAAAAATGCACGTCATTAAAACGAATGGTTGTGAACTATTTATGTCCTGAAGGAGTTCTTTTTGAAACAATCACAGCTCTTAGGGCAATGTATTATACTCAGATCCAGGACCATGGATTTTGGGTTTAGAATGTTTAGAATGTTTTAACCTTAATCCCTCCCATTAGGTTTCCAGTGAAAATATTCTGTGCCAGAAGAGAAATTATGCTGTGCAAATGGCTCAGATGTACACAGGGGTACACAGAATGATGGCTACAGCTGATCAGGTATGGCACCAAAACTCCTCAAGCCAAGACTTTTACCAGAGGACCTCATGGCTTGCAAAGGGCAAGAAAGAAGTCAGTATGTTGTTGACTTGGCCTCTAATATCCATTACTGGAGAAGCAGGTGTAAGACAATGAAGGGAATTCATTGTAAAAGACAATGAAGGTAATTTTGACAGAAAACCCATGAAAACTTAGCCAGTTAAGTGACAATTTGTAAAACTTGAAAAAGTGGAATTGCACAAAAATGAACAGGTTCTGGCAATCTCTTTTTTGTACAACTCCTACATTTATGATTTTAGGTGGCCTTATGCTCTCTTTGCTTGGCAATTAGAACCACAGGAGGAGAAAATACTACTTAATGTCTTAGCTCCTTCCAGCACAGCTCCTAACACCCAGCTGTGACATTCAAGGACATCACTGTTCACTGCAGACTTAAAGAAAAAGAATAATGAAGAATGGAAGAAAACTTCATTCCCTCTTGTATCATATCCCATTTTATTCTGGATTCTTTAAATTTACTTTTCTTCCTTATGTCTATGTCTCTTCTTGCACCTATGCACAAGAATCCCAGAAACAGGAAAAAAACAGAAGACAAAGAAGAAAAAATTAAGAGTTTTCTGCCAATACTGCTGCAGAAACACGGTCTACAGGAGGGAAAGTAAAAATAATGCTGGCAAAGGAATGTATTGGTAGAGGAATCTTCCTGAACAGAACCAAACCGTTCTTTTAGTTCAGACTAAAACACTTTTACCTGTAAAACTGACAGCTCTCCAGCCTAGGTTTATGGAATTCAAAAATCAAAAGGTTTAAAGGACAAATAGAGGACATTTTTTCCTTGTAGTTATTTCTCCCTCACTGAAAAAATGATGATTCCTTTCTGTCTGAATAAACTGTGGTACTTGAAGATTTGCAGAACTTCTGCTAAAAGCACTTTTCCAAATGCAGGCCAACATCAAGGCATCATGGTTTTGAATTAGTTACAGTAACAAAGAGTTTCTGAACATGACTCTGTTATGCTGTTTTCCAGATGGGATGGAGTTCTGTGAAATCTCTGTTCTTTTTGTGCCGCTAATCTTGCCTCATGACTCAGAAGCTGAAAGCCCTAAATAGTGTTGATAATCCTCTGCAGTCTCTTTTCAGTCTTAGCAATGCCTTTCCTCTAATGAAACACGTTATATGCTTTGCAGGAGAGATCCCGTGATTATTTTTGATACTAAGCCTTCAGTCCATGCTTACTGGAATTGCAAGACATTTCCATCATAGAAAAGGATTTGCACATCCAGACTTGGCATACATCAGAGGAACTGTATATAATAAAAAATATAATTTTCAAAATCTACAGAATAATAAAATATAATTTTCAGAATCCAAAGAATATTTTTCATGCAAACCTAGCTGGTTTCTCTGTGAAGAGTGTAAGGAATTCACAGCTGGATCACAGACCTACCTTTAGGTATCTACATGGGACTATGCAAATAGATAACTAAGCTGCCCCTATAGCTAGCAAAGAGCTTCCTTAACACAGAGGGTTACTGATGCCAAAGGACAAGCAGGATATCTGTAAGTAACTGGCAGATGGGACATGAGCAGGATCTTAAGGAGACACAAGCCTCAGAGGCAGCAATTAAAGGCTGGGCAGCATATCTGCACTGACTGAACTGATTTCAGTGAGACCACAGGAATGTCTGATATACAGGCACCTACCTTACCTAAATTGACTTATTCCTAAACTGATTCTCACCCCAATTCTCCTTTAGCTCTGTTCAACCATTTTATTGCCATTTCAAAAGGTGTCTAGCTGCTGCTGAAGCAGGGCATGGATCATGCTGGTGCTCTGTCAGCCAGCTCTTTGCAGGTGTCTTAGGTGCCCTGAACGTATTTCAGACAGTGCATCACAAGAAAGGCAAGTCCATCCTCTGTATCCCTGGCAGAGCTTGTGTGCTGTGTGGGTCTATTGGCATTGCTCTAACATCTGCAGAAGATAAAAAGTTGTATGTTGCTCTATTTAGGCTCATACAGAGATTAATTAAGCAAACCCTCAGCTTTGTGTGTGTTAGTTAAAAATTAAATTTGCAATCATGTACATATAGTGTTATGCATTATAGTACAAAACAGCTCTTCTCATTAATACACTGAAAGGAAATTATCTTCTGTGCTTTTTCTATGTGACTGTGATCTTTAGATCCCAATGAAGAAGGCAGAATCTTCCTATGGTCCTATTGAAGTGTGTCAGAAATAGCTGTTCTCTACATTTTGATAAGAGCCATGAAAAAACCCCACACTAAAATTGTGCAAATGCACACAAACTTGCATGTGTGCACCCACACAAACACATAAGTGCCATCCAGCTGGGGATGGATTGAACTTCATTTTATTTCCCTAATTTAACTAAATTTTCATTTGTATCTTCTCTTTTGTGACTCAAGTTTTGTAGAAGTGCAACTGTGTAAACAACAACCGGTGACAGAAGGAGCTTTAATGACACATGTTGAAAAGCAGCACACACTTTTAAAGACGTGTTAGAGCAGGGAATTTCTTTTCTCTTCATTTTCTCTGCAGCAATACTAAAGGAAAAAATCTGTTATTTTCTAGAAACTCACAGTAAGAATAATTTTCTTCTTTACCCTTTTTTTATTATTAGAGATTAAGGCAACAAAAACATTAACTTTCTGCACTAGCTGAAGAGATGCTCATAAAAAGTCTAAATATCTATTGACCCTACAGTCTCAATTGCAAATAGCCTGTACATAATAGAATTGCACTATAAACCTATTTTTGTTATGAAAACTCTCTTAATGGATGTATAAATTATTTATATTAGCAGTTACAGTTCAGGATAATGAAGGGTCATATCTTCAGTAGTGCTAAAGGTGGACTAAGTGGAAACATTTATTTGGTTCCATAAAACACACATTCGAATTATGTCTGTGAGGTTACATTATCCATAGCACTCTGAACTTTATTAAAGTTATGGAATAAGTTCAGCCCTATGAACTTGAACTGGATGGAGTCTTATAAATAGGAGTTGTGTAAGATCTGGAAGGAACCTAAGGAAGAAAAGTATCATACAAGAAAGTTGGATACCCCTCTCCATTGGAGGGACATTCAGGTAAGGTAGCAGTTTTAGGGCTTGGTGTCGTGTAGTTGTCTGGCTTTACTCTTACAAAGACAGGTTGCTAAGAGGAGTGACTGAATTTCTGTCTGGAGGTGCCCCACAGATGCCTTGCTTTGGTGCAGACATTGTCATTGCAAGGCATGCTGACTTCAAGGGTGTCAGAGCAACACGACATTTAAGGAACAGCAACAAACCCAGAAGGACTGACTATCAAATCCACATTTAGTCTGAATGGCTGGGGCACCTTTTAGTGAGCCCCTGTGACCTGGTGTCCTCTTTATCATCCCTGTAGGGATCCCAGCTGGTGTGTGGACTCTAAAAAGCCATGACTATTTTGTTTCTAGCCACCTTCCAGCTGAATGAGAGATAGGGCTTAGGCAGGGTTTTGCTGCTTCTTGAGCCTGGTCCTTATGGATCAGACCAGTGATCTCCCAACTGTCCCTGGGGCTTTTGCACTTTTGCAAGAATAACCAAGAAATTAAACTTTCCCAAACTACCGGCATGGCATGATTCACAAGCAGATGGGCTCTGTTCTGTAAGATGCCAGATGCCACCAAGGAGCAATGAGCATGTCTTTGTGCAAAGAAGAATCACTGATAATGCCCTATACTTTCTGGGAAGATACATATTTTTAGAATTTCATAAGCACACCCACATTCACTGGGGGGTGTTTGAGTTACAATTTTATAAGAAACGCATGTTTCTACTAATTCCTTTAGAAGTAAACAAGTTACTGCTCCCCTGCTTTTAGAAAATATGGGAAACATGCACAAAATAGAGTTAATTTGCTATATGGGTTATATTGATTCTGCACCATTAACAGACCAGCTTAATTTGGTGAGGGATAAATAGTGTAATTAATTAATGACTGTTTCTGTCCATAAAACTAAACAATTGGTTTCAAACCACTTGAGACTGCAGTGTTTTTGAAGGATCTATGCAGTATTTATGTGTCAGGATGCTGTTTAAACTCCCTATAGTTCAGGACTGCCTAAATCCAAGTCCTGAAGTACAGCCTTATCTCAATTTTTTTGAAAATGTTTCCAAGGTACTTAACCTCAATCTCTCTTGGATGGTGAAAAGTGTCTTGTTTTAACACCTCACCTTTACAGAAAACATATAAGTCAGTCAAAAAAAGGCCCAGACACTGAGACCTCTAGTCCCAGTAGGATCATCCCTGTAAGTGGGGAGCCTACAGGCACAGGCTCCCCCTTTCATTTGTTTTCTTTCTAGCCTCACTCATTTGTTTCTATGTAGAAGTCTGGCTTCATCAAAGACAGAGTGGCCCCATGTCCTGTACTGAGAAAGTGACCATTTCAGGTATTTGCCTGTGATTCTGCCCTAGGCATGAGAAACAGTTCTCTGGCAACGTTTCACAAAAAATGCTGTATTTCTACAGAAAAAAAAGTTCTGGTGTATACGAACCAGACTTTTCCAGAAAAAAAAAAAAAATCAAAACAAAAGGTTTTCTAAAAGATTTTAATCTCACTCTTATAGCAATATTGTACAACTTTTAAAGCTGGAGGCCAAATGCCTGCCACAGTAGGGTTTATATCTCAGGATATGCACTAGCTCCTTGTCCAGTGTAGTCCTGGAAATCAGATTTCCCACGGTTATATTTGAGACTGCTCCTGCCTTGCAGACCACGCTCATTTTTAGCTCTTTGTTCCAAAATTTATTTTTTCTTAATTTCACTCTATTACTTAATTTGTAATCATTACCCAGGTTCATAGCTAATGGTTAGAATGTGTATGCAATATCACACTGATAAGATTGACAGTATTAGGGCACATTACTCCTTTATGCATATCTTCATCTAGCCTTTGTGAAAATTAATTTATGGCTGACTGGGGATGTCAGGCCCTGCCGCAAAGCCACACAGCTA